TTTTAACATTTCTAGCTTTTCCCAAATGTGTGGCTTGCTTATTTCATCTTGGCATTTTCTTAATTTGGAAGAATGTAAATCTGTTAGTAATGTATTGTTTTCTGGTTGCTTACAAGAAAAATGATGATTTTCTTTTGTAACTTGTTCTGGTCACGTGGTTAAACGATCTTTTTACTAAATAGGAAAGATCATTTTTTTGTGCCAAATTTCGTTATTGATAGTAAAATCAAAACCATTAGTGCTTCTTTTTTATTAACAAAATTGAAAAAAACTCTAAAGATTGCAAAAATAGAGATTTATTAATTAAAAAAAAGCATTAGTGGTTTGGAGTTGCACAAATTTTTTGATGTCTTTTAGATGACCTAGACCATATTTCACACATTTTGTGTTTGTTTGATCGACAACGGGTTTATTCTAAATGTTAAAATAAGAATGCCAAATTTGGTTAAGGTGCTGCATTGTTGGATGTGCGTGTGTGTGCGTAATTTTCTTTGTTGTTATTTTCATTACATCACCTTGAATTGGTTCTTTTTTAATTTCTAAAATTTCCCAATATTGTCGTTGTGTTCTTAAATAATGATTTACAATAAAAAATAGCTAAATTGGACGGATACAAATTCCGGCGTGTATAGTAGTATCTCTCATTTTAATAATCTAACTAGGGAATATCATTTTTTTAAATTTTCTTTTTTTTTTTAATAAAAATTTTTTTCAAGAAAATGGGAGACACCAACAACAATAACAACAAAAACAACAATAAAAACAACAAAAACAACAACGACAATAGCAACAACAATAATAACAACAACGATGACGATAACAAAGCTAACGCTAACGTTACTGTTAATAACGTCTTAAAAGAAAATTGCTTTGCAAAATTCAAGGTAATTATTCATTCTCTTTTCAAAAAAAGAAAAAAGAAACTAATATCCTTCTTCTCCATTTTTTCTTCACTCCTTTCATTTCCTTCCACGTATCAAGTTAATAAAAATACACGGTGTTACTGATGGCGAAGATGTTGAAAATATTATGATCGATAATAAGGATAAATCACATATTCAATTATTTTATGATATAACAAAAGTGAAGACTAGTTCAGATTTAAAAGATTGTAAACCATCTTACTGCAGAGAAGTTCTTCGACCACATCCAAAATATAAGTTATATTGGTACAATTCAGCTTTAAAATCAGTGCAACAAGCAAAACAGTCAACTAATAATAATAATTCTGAAAAGTATGATTATGAACAAGAAAATTCATCAGTACCAACAACAATTTGGTCAATCGATCAATTGGATAAATTAAAGCATTCAAAAATATTTCGCAAAGTTAAACG